AACCCGAAGGGCATTGTCGTATAACAATAAGTTCCTATGGGGGTAATGAACGCAGTTTTTTCCTCATCCTCCCTAGCCATGCGAATTTGATGATAACCAGAGTATGCATCTAGAAAACACAAAAGGTCGCACCCCGCTGTGGAGTCGACAATCTGATCTATGCGAGGCAGGGGGTAAGGATCCTTAGGACATGCCTTGTTAAGGTCGGTGTAGTCGATGCACATTCGAAGCTTGCCGTTCGCCTTGGGAACGACCACCGGGTTCGCCAGCCACTCCGGATGGATGACCTCGCGGATGAATCCGGCCTCCAGAAGTCACGCCACCTCCTCGCGGATGAAGGCTTGACGTTCCGGGGCCTGGCGCCGCACTTTCTGCCGGACCGGCCTTGCGCCCGGCCGTACGGCGAGACGGTGCTCAATCACCTCCCTGGGGACCCCGGGCATATCCGCCGGTCTCCATGCGAAGACGTCAGCGTTTGCCCGCAGGAAAGAGACGAGCGCGTCTTCCTATTTGCCATCCAAGAGACCACCGATCCGTGTGGTCTTGGACGGGCCGTCGCCCAGGACAACCTCCTTGACTGGGACCTCATCGCACGTGACTATCCGCTGCCTCGGGGCGGCGGGGGCGGATGTGCCAAGCCTCTCGTCGCCACCCTCGGGCTTGGACACGACGGCGAGGCGGTCCGCGCGCTGCTCCATACAAGCGAGCGCGACTTTGAGGTCGCCATGGACAGAGATGGGGCCATCGGGGCCCGGCATCTTCATCTGGAGGTAGGCGTAGTGGACCGCCGCCATGAACTTCACCAACGCGGGCCTCCCCAGGACCGCGTTGTAGGGCAGACTGAGGTCCGCCACATCGAAGTTCACTCGCTCCGTGCGGAAATTGGCGGGTCCACCGAAGGTGACCGGGAGGTCGATATGACCTAGCGGCCAAGTGTGCCCCGGCGTCACACCGATGATTGGCTGGGACGGCCGGAGCATCATCCCCGGGGCCTTGATGGCATCAAAGGCTGCGGGGGAAAGGATGTTGAGGGCTGCTCCTCCATCAATGAGGACACGCCCCAACTTCACGTTGCAAACGGTGGGAGAAACCACCATCGCAATCTGCCCTCCCCGGGCAACGCACGGTGGGTGGTCGGTCTGGTCGAAAGTTAGGGCAACCTCCGACCACCGCGCCCGGCGCGTCGCCTCATGAGTAGGGGCCGCGGCCAGAAGCTCTCGCTTCATGGCCTTGAGGCTCCGGCGAGAAATGTGAGCACACGCTCCTCCATCGACAGTGGCAATGGTGGCCCCAGGCTCTTGGAAACCTAGGTCATCATCGCCGTCGTCGATGTCCTCGGCGGGGGCCTTCTTCTTGGCCTCACTTCGCCGATTGCCGGAAGGAACCGCCGGGGACTTGCCCTCTCGGCGCTCCTGCCTCCTCTCTTCCTCCCACTTCCTCGTCCGCTCAGCCAAACTTTTGACTGCACGGCAGTCCGCGAGGTCGTGAAGGGAAGTGTTGTGGACGGTGCACCACTTGCCGGCTGGGCGCTCCCTGCTGGGAGCGCCGGCCTTTTTCTTTTTGTCGCTCGCTGGCCTCCCCTTTTGGGTGGCCCGCGAAGCGCCCTCGACGGCGAGGACATGACCCTCGTCGTCGGAATGGACTGACCTCTTCTTCCTCCTCCTGTCACGCCGCCCTGTCTGAGCGGCGGATCCGGGGGCGGCCGAAGCTGCCACTCCGGAACCGGAGGGGTTCCAGGTCCATGCCTCCTCCTTACGAGCCACTCGGTCCGCGAGCTGAAAAAGCTCCGCGGTAGTCTGGGGCTCTTTGGAGGCGATCTTTTCGAGCATGCGGTTGTGCCGCACGCCCCCCCTGAACGCGTAGATTACCGCGTGTGCAGGGATGCATGGTATGGTATTGCGGACTTGACAGAACCGCTGAATGTACGATCGAAGTGACTCATCGTCCCTTCGCTGTACTGCGTGCAAGTCCGCTTCCTCACCGGGGCGCGGATATGTGCCTTGGAAGTTCATGGTGAACTGTTGGCACAAATCCTCCCAAGAGTGGACAGATGCAGGTGGCAAGTTCATTAGCCAACCCCGCGCCTGCCCCTTCAGGGCCATGGGAAAGAAATTCGCCATGACCCTGTCGTCACCCCCGGCGGCCTCAATCCCGGTCGTGTAGACCTGGAGAAACTCGGCGGGGTTGATGCTGCCGTCATATTTTTCGGCGATGGTGGGCCGGAACCTTGGGGGCCAACGGACATTCCGAAGACTCGCCACAAAGGCTCTACAGCCGACACCACCAACCGGGGGCACGGAGGGCTGATTCCCACGTCCGTGTCGAGGTGACACTCTGGACGAGGAAGCGCCCTCCGTTGCGTGGGCAGCACTTCGGTCATTACGCCGGCGCTCGATGCTGGTGCGGGCGTCCTGCTCCCCACGCAGATCTTCCCGGGTCGAAGGAGTCGACGAAGGAGTGACGGCCGAACGGCGAACAGCGGCTGCCGCTCGTCGTGCCCTCCGTCTTGACGACGCGGAGCCGGTGGTAGCAGCACCAGAGGCCTTGGTGGCGGAGGACCGCCCACCAGCATCTAGGCGCTGCCGCGCCGTCATGACCAATTTGGCCACGTCGTCCAGCCATCGTTGGGCTGGAGACTCCGGGTCAGGGACGACAGGCGGGTGGCGTAAGAGCGCGCCCGTAGCTTGGAGCGCGCCCTGGGGCGTGCTGCCGTCGCCGTAGACGAGGAGGCGACGCTCCCCATCTCGCCGTTCTTTTCCATCGCCCGCGATCGGTGAAGTCGCGGATCTTTCGACCCTCTCGAGCGCCTCCCCCCGCTTAGGACTTTGGCGTGGAGGGGGCGGTGGAGTACGAGCTCGACGGCGTGGGTTCGGCTCCCCGTCGTCGCCACTCACACTCGGAGAGAGGTCGTGCGCCTTTGCTTGCTCAGCCATGAGGCTGAACAGGAAAAGCTTGGTGCACACGAAAGAGCGCAAGAGCTCAGAAGATCACTCGCAGAGTCCCCTACCTGGCGCGCCAGATGACGGAGCGTGGGGCTCCTCACCGGGAGACCGCGCTGGCCCCCCTTTGCCGGTTCGGCCGGGGACCCTGGGTGAGACTCTAAGCTCCCAATCTGTATGTGGAAGGTTCGCGAGACCGGAAGCACAGAAGACACCGGCGATGTATACAGGTTCGGGCCGCTGAGAAGCGTAATACCCTACTCCTGTGTTTTGGTGGATCTGTGTATGAAGCAGCTACAAAGTGTGAGCCAACCTCTCCCTTGTTCTAGGTTCCGAATCTGGAAAAAATCAATCCAAGAAAAAGCTCCCCCTTCTCTCAGTGGTCAAGGTCCTCCTTTTATATCTTAAGGGGATACCACATGCACCATTTCCCTCTTTTTTCTGTGGGGATTTCCCCCACCTTCTCAGAAATAGACGGAGATTTGCATGGTTGCCGTTCGAGTCACCTTCTGATGGAACGGCCCGCACCTACCTCCACTTTCGCCGGGAGCAGGCGCGACGTAGAATCATGGCTGTCTGCTGGCGACATGACCGGTGTCAGAATGGTCACAAATCGGTCATTCTTGTCCACCACGCGTCAGCTTAGCTATCTGCACGTTGGCTCTCCTTCACACTACATTTTGCCTGTAATGGTTAGGATGAAGCCTGGCATATATCTGATCAGGGCTAACGTGCCATCTCTGGGAGGTAACACGCTAGCTCCAGCTGGGGACGAGCGCCTAGAAGCCCTCGACCTGACGGGATGGGGCGAGGCGTGCGTCAGACCGCCTGCCGCCACCTAACCCGCGATCTGACCGGTCTGTGACTGGTCACAGACCGGATAAACGAGTGCACTGCACTGCGCTACATGCGGTGTGACACGCTCAGCCAAACCGCAATTAATGTGGTTAGGTGAGCCCCACTGTGCTCACCTAACCCATACACGCGGAGCGAAAACCCACGAGGGGTCGGGGCGCCTCGGCCCTCGGGGCCGAGGGGGGTGCAGCCCGACCCCATCGGGGGGACTAAGAGGAGGGCGAACACATCACCCTCGGGCCCGACGTCCCCCGAGGGTGCCAGGCCACGTGGGCGATTGTGTCTGCCTCAAACCTCTAGTCATGATACTCCCGATCCCATGTCACCGACAACCTGATTTAAGTATACATCGACATAAGAATTATATATCGTTAATATCTACAGCCGATCAAGTAGATTTAGTTTTTCCTTACTCATTCACGATTGCCGATCGATACACAGATGACATCGGCTCGGATATAAATGATATGTCATCGGCATCTGGCCGATCGGCTATCATTTATAGATTTAACCACGGTTCTTTTGTCTTTATTTCTTGTTGATTGCAGGATCAAATCAACTGACACGCTCACACATCCGAAGGCGAGTTTTGGACCTGCACTGGAGTTAAGTAGATCTCCCAGGCCTCGTGTTTTCTGTCAACAGCCACCCCTTCTCCCCACCGACCACCGCCCTCCTCCACGCTGTCCGTCGGCCGTTGCGCCTGGAGGGAGGAGAAGAGAGAGGAGAGAGATACAATGAAGAGAGGGAGATGGGGAGAGAGGTGGAAGAAGAGGATTGTGAGAATGACATGTGGGGCTCACGTGGGCCCCACCGGTCTTAATTATTTTTTTCTAACTAACATGTAGGCTAACAGTTTTTATTATTTTCCAAATTAAATTGCCACGTAAATGCCACGACAATGCCACGTTATCCAAAAACCTAATTAAATTAGCCACGTAGGTGCCACGTCAGCGAAAAATGAGAACAATGTTGGTGATGGATCTTGTTTGCACTGGTTTTGTAAGTTGAGGGACCCATCATACCTAGTTTTTCCAGTACAAGGACGAAAATCAGATTCAAATTAAGGGACTTTAAATGAACTTATTCTAAATTTGCTATGGGCCACCTTGTTTACGGGTTAGAGAGCCCATAACAATAATGGTTAATTGGATCCAGCCATGCATCGAGCCTTTTTATAGATCGCAAGTGGTCTCAAAGGTGTGGTTTTTAAAATGGGATTGGTGCTGGAGCACTCATTGGTGCCGCATCCCTAGTGTCGGTTGAGAAAACCGATACCTTAAGAGGTTTTTCACATGTTCTGTGGTAGTGAAAGGGTCCGTATCATAAAGAGATTACCATACCGTAACACACAACAATGACTTATTTCACAAGACAAGAGGACTAACAATTTCACAAGAGAATTTTTATGTCCAAAACTCCAAATTGACGGAGCAACCATCAATTCAGTGCGGTAGAATCCCCAGGGCCTTGCCGTACTCGACGAGGTCGCCGAATATCTCGTCCAGATCCGTCCACTTGAACTCGAACCCTTCCCTCGTCAGCTTCTCCGACGAATAGCACACTCTCGGCTTCTCAGGGAACCCTTCGAAACTACGAGCAAACAAAGATTATCGCTGGCTCATCAGGTTCTCTCAAGAAATGCATGTGTCGATCGATCAGTCACTTGAAAGTTGAAACTGAAAGTGCCAGTTCGTGTATATGTACCAGTCGGTTTGGACGTTGTACTGAGGGTATTTTGCTGCCGCGAAACGTGCGAGCGCCATCACGGTGGTGCTGAGGCTGCTGCAGATGTACCTCCCCGACGCCGACTCCTTCTCCGCGAGGAATATCTCGGCGCGGCAGACGTCGTCCACGTGAACCACCGGAATGGAGCCGGTGGCCGCCAGGCCTTTCAGGGTTTTTAGCTGCGCCTCATCACCTGAAAAAGAAACAACGTCAATCGTAACACATAATGGAAGTACATACTCTCTTAATTCTAAAATAAACAAATCAAATATAAAATGTGATATATCTTGAATCTGAACAAATAAAAGAGTAGCTTCTTAAATTTGACGTATGTTTCTCAGGCTCTCACCAGACAGCAAGGAGAGCGTAGTTGGGATGCTTGTTGTGGTCAACGGCGTCGGCGCCGCGCCCAAGGTGAACACCGGGAGCACGGTGATGAGGCTGATGTCGTTCTCCTCCGCGAATTTGCACGCCGCCTTCTCCAAAAGCACCTTCGAGACACCATACGCCTGCAAAACGCAAACGCAAAAACAATGGGGTGTGCTAGCATCAGCCAGCCGTCATTTTCATCAGCCCGGTAAAAAATGTATATGAATGATTTGATGGAGGACCAAAAAAGAAAGGAGTAGAATGTGACCCAAGATGGTGGCTTCTCTCTCGTCAGGTAGTCGACGTCGGACCAGGACGACTCGTCCAGGACATGGCCGACGCCGCCTTGCAGCGGACGGAGGGCGACGGCGGCCGCCGACGATGTCAGAATCACGCGCTTCACCGTGCCGGCTCTCAGGCACGATCTCATCACGTTCAGGGTTCCTTGGACGCCGGCTTCAATCATCTCTTTCTGCCATCAAACGTTGGCAGGAAACCCAGCTTAATTTGTCATCGTAGAAGTTAAGAGCAAATTAATTTCAGTACTAGAGACTAAAGAGCATGCTTATCATCAGATGACACAAGACAACTGTCAACTGTGACGTCGATTAGAGAAAACCGGATTAATTAGCTAAGCTAGCTGTTCACCTCAGGATTCTCTGACTGGAGATTCACCGGAGCGGCGACGAGGAAGGCGTAATCGCAGCCGTTGACGGCTTCATCGAAGCTGCCATCTTCGTCAAGGTCGGCACGGAAGACCTTCAAGGTGCCTAGTGCCTCCAACCCCTTGAGATGGGAATTCTTCCTCATGTCATCTGAATACACAAGAGTAGGATCGTCAGATGTGAAACTGAACTCTGAAAATTCGTAGCGTTGTCTTGAGAATTGAGATCATAAAGATTTGCATCCATCGTTTCCAGCATATGTCACTATATCAGTTGGAACATATAAAGATTTTCTATATGGTGCAGATAGAAGAACTTTTTCTATTGTTCATGACGACAGTTCAGCAAATAAACTACCTCTGACCAAAAGATTTTTGAATCTGAATGGGAGAAAGACTGTGGCCCTGTTTAGATTTCATTTTTCTTCTTTAAACTTTCAACTTTTTCGTCACATCGAACTTTCCTACATACATAAATTTCTAACTTTTTCATTACATCGTTCTAATTTCATTGAACTTCTAATTTTGGCATGAAACTAATCACAGCCTGTAACTGAAATCATGAACAACAAAAAAGGGGGAAGAATCTCACCAGGGTTTCTGACTGTCGTGTTGACAGCATATCCCTTCTGAAGCAGCATCTTGATGAGCGCCGAAGCGATATACCCGTTCCCGCCGGTCACGCACGCCGTCTTCATCCCAACCGCTGACATCGCCGTGCCGCCGGCTACTTCGTCCCCTCCAGGCTCCACTACGTCCTCCTGAGAGAAATAGCTTACTGGAATGAAGACGGCGGTTGTAAGAGTACAAGAGTACAGTCACTGTCACTGACGTTCATCTGATAGGATATGCTTGTCAGTTGTCACCAATAAGAAATCTTTGTTATTTAGATGCAAAGGTATGTTTGTATTCAGGGAGTAAACTTTATTCCATGTCACATTGGATATTTGGATGCTAATTTAGAGTATTAAACATAGAATAATTACAAGACTAATTGCATAAATGAGAGTTAATTCACGAGACATTTTTTAAGCCTAATCAATTCATAATTAGCACATGTTTACTATAGCATCACATAGACTAATCATGGATTAATTAGGCTCAATAGATTCATCTCACGAATTAGTCCAGGGTTATGTAATGAGTTTTGTCATTAGTCTACGTTTAATCTATCTATTAATCTAAAGCCAGTGGTTATGCCAGCTTTTGATTGGGCCACGTGGCGCCCCTAGCTTATCAAATAAATCATGAATTTTGTCTAAGGAAAAAAATACAGAAGATCAAGCAAAATAGAAAACTACAGTGTTATGTGATAATTCTAAAAGCAAGTAGTACCTTAGCAGTTTCTTTTAAGAAAAAGTTGTACCTTAACAACACAGCATCCAGAACATCTAGCTGTTCCCACCCGGTAAAAAAAAAAATCAGCTTCCAGAAGCTTCTAACTGTACATCACTTCGCAATAAACATAGAGACTTTCTAGAACCACTCAAATATAAATCATAATTTAAGATAAGTCTAGTTAAAGTATCTAGATCCATAGACTTATACATCTAGATTATAGTCCTTTGCAACAACATCACTCCTAGAGGCATTCAAATATCCGATAGAAGAAAACTCAGAATTATTAAAAAAAAAAAGGGAAATCCAATAAAAAATATGAGCAACAGGGTCCTCAGCTATCGTATCACCGTGTAGCACCAAGTCAATTGACCATTTCAATTCCTCCTTTTTTCAGTTTCCAGTTACCATCGTATCTTATGAACCAAGTGTACTTCCTCCACTAATATAAAATATTCCCAATCTTTTTCTTAGAGAGATAAGTATGGAGTGAAAAAACTATAATGCCATTTATTAAATAAAATATAGTTGAAAAATGACAGAATGGTTAGAAGTAAGACATGAAGAAAATTAAATCAAGAGGTGAGTGATACGACACGCAGTGCTCAATTTGGCAGGACCTTCCAGCTTTTCTGTAGCTAAAGCTCAACAAAGTTTTTTCTGCTCTATAAAAAAGAGAGTGGAGCAGACTATAGTGACCTAGAAAAATGAGGGGTGGAGTGAACACAAAGACCGTCAATAGGCCACTACTTAACTTCAAATTCTACTTCTAGCATTTAGGAGTTGGATCCTTCCACCTAATATTTGTGGACATCAAGAGTATTATGGATTATTGAGAGCAAGCTTTGTAAGTTTACGATTTTCTGTAACTTTTTTTTATTACAATCACTCCTTTTTTTAAAAAAATATTAATCTTCTAATATTTTTTTCAGAGAACCTTCTATTATTTAACTCCACCTACTTTCTACTTTCTTAATACTTTATAGTATTTAATTATATCAAAAATTTGTTAGAAACTCAACATCTATAATTAATCGTCCACCAGAAACATAGAGAACACACAATCCCAAATTAACATTACAGGAGATTATGCTCAGAACGATATGCAAGAGAATACAATATTTAATGGAACATAGAAGTTGAACGAAATGCTAAAAATATCTTACAAAATTTTCATGTTTCAAACACACGCTAAACAATGTATCGGGCTATAAAGAAAGTGTGCCAACCGGCACACTAATGTTCTGGTACTTCTAATTAGTGTCCAAACATCCGATGTGACATGGCTTAAAGTTTTAGTCCCTGATCCAAACATTTCAAATTATTTTAGGACGAGGATGCAACACTATGTGCGGGGTTGGACCATCTATGGAAAGAAGGATGGACCATTTACGGAACTGTCCTTACAGAACTGTTCAGTTGATATGAAAGTGGGTGGTTGTTTGGTTGATATCTGATTGAGGAGTACTCCTTTCGTCTCATAAAAAATCAACCAAGTATCGAATGTGACACATGCTAGTTGTTGACGAGTACTACAAATAAAAACCAAATCTATGACCGGATGTATAGATGGCCATCCGGGCGGCACGGCCCAGGCACGGTCGTGTTTAATGAAATATATTTAATGTAGTGTTTAATGAAATAAATTTTGTGTTGTAAATGTTGCTAATTTTTTCTATAAACTTAGTCAAACCTTTTACTGAAAATGTTTGACAAAAAAAGTTCAAAATGATTTATAATATGAAATGGATGTAGTATTAACTACTATAAATATGCCAAATGGTTTTATTAGATTTTTTAAAGAAACTTAAAAACATGTCCATAATATACATCTTTTAACAGTTTATGAAGCGGCTAAAAAAACAAGTGGCATCCCTAACAGACCAACGAACGGAGCCTTAGGTCCCTCAAAATGGACATCCCCTAATTTCTTACGTATCAACCAAATGATTCTTGTTAAATTTTTTTATAAAAAATATATAAATGACATGCAAGAACGAAGGATATGCTCTAAGGGTATTAAACTTCATTGCCATTATCCACTGTGTATTAGGCTCATCTTAAAACACTGTACTATTTTTTTTTCTTTAAAAACACTGATCACTTATTTCGCAAGCGCATACTCCAGTTCGGTCCTCGTGACAGCTAGGTTGAAGGTAGAGCAGCATCAGCTATTCGTTCAATGTGGTAGAATTCCCAGGGCCCTGCCGTACTCTACAAGGTCATCGAGTATGTCGCCCATATTCGTGTACTTGAACTCGAACCCTTCCCTGATCAGCTTCTCCGACGAACAGCAGACTCTCGGTTTCTCAGGCATCCCGTCGAAGCTGCAAAGATACAGAGACGATCACTCGCTCGTCAGATCGAACACAACAATATTTATCTATTTTGGATTTCCAAGTTGGTCAACAATTCGATCGTACCGGTCGGTTTTGACGTTGTACTGCGGGTACCTTCCGGCCATGAAACGGGCAAGCGCCAAGACGGTGGTGTTGAAGCTGCAGCAGATGTACCTCGCCGACGACTCTGCCGACGACAATGACGATGACTCCTTCTCGGCGAGGAATATCTCGGCGCGGCAGAGGTCGTCGACGTGAACGATCGACACGGAGCCGGTGACCCACTGCAGGGGCTTCAGGACTTCGAGATGCGTCTCATCACCTGAGAAGTAGTAGTAAAAAAACAGCAGCCAACTTAAACTGTGTAACACGCGTTGCAAAGAGTGTTGAGACTTGGGGTCTGTTTGGAGTTTTAAGATTACAATCTGGAAAAATTGTGTTTCCCAGCTTCATTTTTTGGATTTTACAATTATATCTTCTTATAATCTAAATCAAAAGCTGAACTGTTTAGAGCAACTTCTAATTCTAGAATATACTGCAGCAGCTAGAAGCTCCCCCCAAACAGGCCCTTTGTGGGAGCTAGCTTGTTGATTTGATTGCTGTTGCTGGTGCTTCTAGCTCACCGGATAGCAAGGAGAGGATGCCGGGGACGCTCGTCCTCGCCACCGGCGCCGGCGCTGCGCCCAAGGTGAACACCGGGAACACGGTGACGAGGCTCATGTTGTTCTCCTCCGCGAACTTGCATGCGGCCTTCTCCAAAAGCACCTTGGACACACTGTACGCCTGCAAACGCAAATGCCATTGCCAATTGGGTGCAAGCTTATTTTCGTTGGTAAATTTAAAGAACTTTTCGGTCCAATATACTGAGTATTTTAAGAATTTTTATCAAATTAAAAATGGTATTTTAGTAATTTTCATTCTAGTTTGCAACAGCGCAGTGTCTCATGGTGGTGAAAATAATGCCTATCTCTACTCCCTCTGTCCTTAAATAACTCAACCTCTTATGACACATCCTACTATTCTAGTAAAACGAATCTAGACACTCTAGGATGTTACGAGATTTTTTTTTAACGGAGGGAGTATTTCGCTATAAGTTGTGAGTTTACATAATTACCCTCATCCAATAGTATGGAAAGACAATTTTACCCCCTTTAATTTTATACTATAATATATTAAAGCACAAGGAAATATTCATAAAAATCTTTGAATTGTTTGTACTGGCAGCACATACTAGTAGTAGCATATATTAGTATATATTGTACGGTAAAAGTTTTCTTGAATTTATGGATAAGATGGAGATGTGAAAATGTCAAGAGAGAGGAACGTCACCCAGGCTGGCGGCTTCTCTGTTCTCAGGTAGTCGACGTCAGACCAGGACTCCTCGTCCAGCACATACCCGTCGCCTTGCAGCGGCCTTCTGGAGATCGCTGCGTCCGACGATGTTATGATCACGCGCTTCACCGTCCCTACTTTCGCGCACGATCTCATCGCGTTGAGCGTTCCATTGACGGCGGCTTCAACCAGATCTTTCTGCCACCACCATCAACATCGCAAAAAAAAAAAAAAAAAAAGGAAATCAAGATTAGTAGAGCACATCAGTTACAGAGTATCAGAGTCAATAGTGATGTTAATTAGCTGTTCACCTCAGGATTCTCTGAATTGAAGTTCATCGGAGCGGCGACGAGGAAGGCGTAGTCGCAGCCGGCGATGGCATCGTCGAAGCTTCCTTCTTCGTCCATGTCGGCGCGGAAGACCTTCAAGGGGCCAAGTGCCTGCAAGTCCTTGAGGTGGGAGTTCTTCGCCATGTCATCTGAATACAAACCGCAGCAATTAGTGGAATCTTCAGAGATGAAACTGAAACTCTGAAAATTCACACCATCGTATTGATAAAGTCGCATCATATTTTGATCCATCATATGTCACGATATATATATGTAACTATCGGTTGGAAGTTGGAAAAGGATAAGATTTGACAACTTCTCCCTTTCGAAAGATATGATATTGTCCACATGTGCGGCTAAGCCTGCCATTTGCTAATGAGTGGTTAAGCGAAAACACTCGCTAATTAGCTCATATGGTACTAGCAGGCCGAGGATATGATCATATGAATGGAAGAAACACTGCAAAAAAAGTAAAAAACACGAACTAGAGAGTGAAAAAAGGAGGAGAATCTTACCGGGGTTTCTGACCGTCGTGTTGACAGCATATCCCTTCTCCAACAGCATCTTGATGAGCGCAGAAGCGATGTACCCGTTGCCGCCGGTGACGCACGCCGTCTTCCTCTCGACCGCCGACATCGTCGTCGTCGATCGGTCGCTACAACAACCCACCAGCCCAGATGAGACGAAGAGGACGAGGAATTTATGTTTGTTGCTGTACTTTGGGAAGAGTTCAATTTGTCTAGTGAGGTGGTCTGGCGTGCTTATCAGTAAGATTTTTTTTAAGTACTACCGAAAAGAAACATGCTGACATCATGCACTATATCCAGAATATCACCTTATTGTAAAATAAAACCGGTGCGGTGCGAGTTGGGTGGTTGATTGAGACATGTATAGAGAATTAGCTAAGAGTTATTTTAAAAACTACTAATTTTTAAGAAAAAAATAGCCATCCAATAAAATAGTCTCAAGTTGTTTAGATCCAAGGGTTATTTTAAGAGCTATTTAATCTTTAATGCACTTTCTCATGGAGAGAGATAAAGAGAAAAGACATTTTTTAGTGGGCCCCACCTGAAATAGCCCTAATTAGTATTCTTAAGGGGGATAGTTTTTTTGGATGTGTTATTTTCAAATAGCCCTGAAATAGCTCACCTATTTATAACTTTTAGATTATTTGCAGCTATTTGAAAGAGGACTGAAAAGTAACCCATGAATCTAAACAGGTCCTGAGTCGGAGCGTCGATTACGCACGTCAGCTGGGTTAAAGTGTCAATATGGAGTGGACAACAAGATCGTCATATCACGCTCTCAGCAATGGTATGCGTAGCTGGTAGAGTCAAAGGAGCATGCGTGCGTCTGGACCGATGGATTCATGGCCGTCCATCGGCATCCAACTGACGTTAATACGGCCGTGCGTCATACACGTTGTCCATAAGCCGATCGAGAGATGGGACGGACGGTAGGTACAGTGCTACTGCAATCGCGCCGTGTCGTGTGACTATCCCTGTGCACCGTGTTCATTGGGGCTGATGCCGAGCAGGCAGGGGCAGCCCATCGCGCGCGCTAGAAAGCTAGCAGGCCGAGGTGGGCCGCGAGCCCGCGAGGGAGGAGAAAATTGCATATGTACTACTCATTAAAAACTGGCTTCGCTATAATATCATTCTCAAGATGGGATTTGCCCAAACGCCACTCATAATATATGGGTATTCGCTGAAATGCCACTTCAGGTTTTCTTCCATTTCGAAAATATTTTTCATCAATTTCAATTTTTCTCAGACTATTATGCCCCTGAGACTCTTTCTTCTCCTCGGTTCAATCTAGCGAGCGTGAGAAGGTGAGAAGAGAATCGGCAGCGACACCGGCGCCGCCCACCACCACTGCGCCACCGCTACCTCAGCTCCAGCCGCCGCGCCGAGGTCCTCCCCAGCTGTGCCGCTCGTCCTAGTCCGCGCAATTGTGCCGCCTCCTCGGTGACATACACCATGAGTCCATGACATACAACCTCAATTCATGAGTTCATATATATAACTTGCAAGCGGTTTAATTTTCATTTAATTTCGCATCAAGCAGAGCTGCCGACTTGTTTAATTTTGTATGAGCAAGTTCGTTCGCTTTGGTTAACCCAAACGAACTTTAAAAAGAAGTTGCAAAATGTTTTTCGAACATACAAGAAGATACTACTAGAATAGAAGTCGCTTTGTGCTTGAAAATTATACACAGTTGTTGATTTCAGAATGTAAAATCGGCACATCATTGACACAAAATGTGAACAAAAATATTTACCAGGCACCAGAGGAAATTACACAGGAGGCAAAAAAACCACTATGAATTCAGAGAAGAGAAGAAAAAAAAATGAAAGCTAAGCTCAGGGGTCCTCAGTGATGCACGAGAGGTGCGGCTGCCACGGCGAGGCATGGCTCCCGGTGCTCATGCGCCGCCGGTGTTGGTGGTGGTGTTGCTTCTGCACCCTCATCATCCTTGTCGTCTCCGGCGACGCGCTGCACTGGCTGCCCAACCAATCGGCGACGGCGGCGTTGCCCTCCGACTTGCTGCGGACGTGGTGCCCGTGGCCGGCGGCGCCGCCGGTGCTCGTCCTTCTCTTGGCGTCGGGGACGGAGGCGGCCGGGATGAGGAAGTAGATCTCGCCGCACTCCAGCTTCGACTCCGGCGACACGATGTGTATCCGGCCCATCGCCCCCTGCTGCGACGAGCACTGCCGGCTAAGCACGTGGTTGGGGTGCGCCGCCAGCACCTCACCGGCGGACACAGCACGGCCGTACGCGTCGATGCGGCCGGCTCGGTGCCTAGGGTTTCGCTGAGGATAGGCGGCGGCTGGGGAGGAGACTCACCGGGGAGAGGCGGCGGCGCAGCTGTTGGGGGGCGGGACCGGTGAGGCACGCCGCGGCGGCGATGCAGTGGTGGTGGGCGGCGCCGGTGTCGCTGCCGCTTCTCTTCTCGACTTCTCGCGTTCGGTCGCTAGATTGAAACGAAGAGAAGAAAGAGTCCGACTGAATCAGTTGACTCAGGGGCATAATAGTCCAAGAAAAATTGAAATTGATGAAAAGTATTTTCGAAATGGAAAAAAGCCCGAAAGTGGCATTCCAGCGAATACCCACGTGTTAAGAGTGGCGTTTGGGCGAATCCTATCTTGAGAATGGCATTATAGCGAAGCCAGTTTTTACGAGTGGTACATATGCAATTTTCTCGCGAGGGAGGGGATCGGGAATGGGCGACCATGCGCCGAGAGCCTGGGAGTGAACGGGAAGGAAAGCTTACGCGGCGCCCTCATGCGCTTTTTTTTGGCTATTTTTTTGCGAATTTTTTATTTTAGAAATTGAATCTTTCATCTTCAATTTCATTTGGAAGTTTTGAATTTGAGTTGAAAGTTTTAAATTTTGAAATGAAAGTTTCAATTCTGAGTTGAAATTTTCAAATATAGATTTATTTTTTTTCAAATCATGGTTAAAAGTTATCGAATTTGATTTGAAAGTTTTAAATCTTGAGTTAAAAGTTAAAAATCCTTATTTGAAAATTTTTAAATCTGACTTGAAATTTTAAATATTAATGCGAAAATTTTCAAATCTTCACATGCAAGCTTTTAAATCTGAGTTAAAAGTTTTTAACAAGAAAGGAAATTGGATAAAGTGTTGCACTACGTACTTTGCTAGCGCATATACACTAAATAAGGAACCCCCGAGGCTGCATAGCACGTTTCTTTTTGGGCAAAGTGGATGGCCACTATCCGGATAAGCTCTTTTGGGCTGAGTTTGGATGTGGTGCTAGAAATTTAGGATTTTTCACAAATGCTAAATGAGACTAAATTATTAGTGTCAGGTTAATTGAATACTTTCTCCATTTTCATAGTATTGTTGTTTTGAATTTTTTTTCTATTCTACCTTTTTAAATTTAATCAAGTTTATAAAAAATATAGCAATATTTTAAAACAAAACAAACACATTATTAAAATATCTTTAATGTAGTATTTAATGAAATTAATTTTTTTTACATGTTGCTAGTTTTTTTTTATAAACTTAGTCAAACCCTTTACTTAAAAGGTTTAACTAGATGATTTATAATATGAAACGGAGGGAGTATTAATTACTATAAATATGACAAATGGTTTTATTAGATTTTTTTTAAAGAAGCTTTAAAACTTTTCATAATATACATCATTTAACAGTTTGGGAAGCGGCTAAAAAAACAAGTGGCATCCCTAACAGACCAAATGAACGGAGCCTTGGTCCCTCAAAATGGACATCTCCTTATTTCTTACGTATCATCCAAATGAATCTTGTTAATTTTTTTAAAAATATATATAACTATTTAAATGACATGCAAGACCAAAGGATACCCTATAAGGTATTAATTTTTTTTGCCATTATCTACTGTGTATTAGGCTCATCTTAAAACACTGTATTTTTTTTTCTTTGAGATGTTTAAAGGCACAGACCACTTATTTCACAAGCGCATATATAGTTTGGTCCTCGTGACATCTACCCCCTCTATCCCATAAAAACCATCCTAAACCATCCTAGTACTGAATGTGACATATCTTAGTATTACAAATCTGGATATACACCTGTCCAGATTCGTTGTACTAGAATATGTCACATCCAGTCTTAGTTTCGTTTTTTTGGACGAAAGGATATGTCACATCCAGTCTTAGTTTCGTTTTTTTGACGAAGGGAGTAGGTTGAAAGTAGAGCAGCATGAGCTGTTCGTTCAATGTGGTAGAATTCCCAGGGCCCTGCCTTACTCCACAAGGTCATCAAGTATGTCGCCCAAATTCGTGTACTTGAACTCGAACGGTCGAACCCTTCCCTGATCAGCTTCTCCGACGAACAGCAGACTCTCGGTTTCTCAGGCATCCCGTCGAAGCTGCAAAGATAACAGAGATCATCACTCGCTCGTCAGATCGAACACAGCATGCATGTATATCTATGTTGGATTTCGAAGTTGGCCAACAATTCGATCGTACCGGTCGGTTTTGACGTTGTACTGCGGGTACCTTCCGGCCATGAAACGGGCAAGCGCCAAGACGGTGGTGTTGAAGCTGCAGCAGATGTACCTCGCCGACGACTCTGCCGACGACAATGACGATGACTCCTTCTCGGCGAGGAATATCTCGGCGCGGCAGAGGTCGTCGACGTGAACGATCGACACGTAGCCGGTGAACGATTGCAGGGGCTTCAGGACTTCGAGATGCGTCTCATCACCTGAGAAGTAATAAACAGAAGCCAACTTAGGTGTGTTTATATTCAGAGACGCGGTAAAGTTTTGGCGTGTAACATCGGATATTATATAGGGTGTCGTAAGAGTTGTTGGGGCATTAATAAAAAACTAATTACAGCATCGCTAATAAACCGCGAGATGAATTTATTAAGCCTAATTAATTTATCATTAGCGAATGTTTACTGTAATACCAGATTCGTCTCACAAATTAGTCGTAATCTTGTAATTAGTTATTTTCTAGCCTATATTTAATATTTTATATAGCTGTTCAAATATTCGATGTGACGGGGTGTAAATTTTTAAGGTGGGATCTAAGAACCACCTGCAAGTGTTGAGACTTTGGTGGGAGCTAGCTTGTTGATTTGATCGCTGGTGCTGGTGCTTCTAACTCACCGGATAGCAGGGAGAGGATGCCGGGGACGCTCGTCCTCGCCACCGGCGCCGGCGCTGCGCCCAAGGTGAACACCGGGAATACGGTGACGAGGCTCATGTTGTTCTCCTCCGCGAACTTGCATGCTGCCTTCTCCAAAAGCACCTTGGAGACACAGTACGCCTGCAAACGCAAACGCCATTTTCAACCATACAATATTTATTTTTGGTAAACTTATAAAAAAAGTCTATGTTTAGTTTATTGCTAAATTTAGTCAATATATAAGAAATCCTGCCAAAATTTTGATAATATTAGCATCTTGCCAAAATTTTAACATTGCCAAAACTTGGTAAGGTTTATTTTTGTTACAATCTAAACAGGCCCTAAATTTAGAGAACTTTTCTATACAATATACTGAGTATTTTAAGAATTTTTATTAAATTAACAATGGTATTTTAATAATTTTCATCCATTGTGCTAGTTTGCAGCGGCGCGGCACCTCATGGTGGTGAAAATAATGCCTATCTCTACTCCCTCCGTCCTAAAAAAAACACAACCTCGTACTCTCTCCGTATTTTAATTTATGACGCGGTTGACTTTTTGACTAACATTTGACCATTCATCTTATTAAAAAAATGTATTTATCATTTATTTTATTGTGACTTGATTTATCATCTAATGTTCTTTAAGCATGACATAGATATTTTTGTATTTGCACAAAAATTTTGAATAAAACGAATGGTTAAACGTTGATAAAAAAGTTAACGGCGTCACACATTAAAATACTGAGGGAGTGCTAGAATGTGACATATGGTTTTTTAGACGGTGGGAGTATTTCACTATAAATTATGAGTTTACAGAATTACCCTCCACCAATAGTATAAAAAGACAATTTTATCCCCTTTAATTTTATACTATATTATATTGAAGCAGGAGGAAAAAATAATATTTTTTTCGATTATTTGTACTGTCAGTATAATACTGTAAAAGTTTTCTTAAATTTATGGATAAGATGGAGATGTGAAAATGTCAAGAGAGGAACGTCACCCAGGCTAGCGGCTTCTCCGTTCTCAGGTAGTCAACGTCAGACCAGGATTCCTCGTCCAGCACATGCCCGTCGCCTTGCAGCGGCCTTCTGGAGATCGCTGCGTCCGACGATGTTATGATCACGCGCTTCACCGTCCCCGCCTTCGCGCACGATCTCATCGCGTTGAGCGTTCCATTGACGGCGGCTTCAACCAAATCTTTCTGCCACCATCAACGTCGGAAAAAAAAACGAAATGGAGAGCAGTAGAGCACATCAAAGTTGGATGAACATGGATTGGAAACGGACGAAAACTAGCTATCTCGTAGTCAGTAGGGATCTTAATTAGTGGTGCCAAGTACTACCTTGTAAAAAAAAATAAATTCCTATATACAATCTTAGATAGACACATGTTTTCAGGTTTGTAGGTAATATTAGTTTTTTTTTTTTTTAAGACGAAGGGTGTAAGCTTTTCACCTCAGGATTCTCTGAATTGAAGTTCATCGGAGCAGCGACGAGGAAGGCGTAGTCGCAGCCGGCGACGGCATCGTCCAAGCTGCCTTCTTCGCCGATGTCAGCACGGAACACCTTCAAGGGGTCAAGTGCCTGCAAGTCCTTGAGATGGGAGTTCTTCGCCATGTCATCTGAATACAAATCGCAGCAATTAGTAGAATCTTTGAGAGGTGAAACTGAACTCTGAAAATTCACACCATCTTTTTGAGATCATATAAAGTCTCATAATAATTCGATCCATCATATGTCACGATATGTATATATGTAACTATCAGTTGGAAGTTGGAAAAGGATAAGATTTTGTCCTCATGTGCGGCTAAGCCTGCCATTTGCTAATTGGTTAAGCGAAAACACTCGCTAAAAAGCTCATATGGTACTAGCTGGCCTATGATTTCACACCTGAACTGAATGGAAGAAACACTGCAAAAAACATGAACTTAGAGAGTGAAAAAATGAGGAGGAGAACCTCACCGGGGTTTCTGACCGTCGTCTTGACAGCATATCCCTTCTCCAACAGCATATCTTGATGAGCGCAGATGCGATGTAGCCGTTGCCGCCGGTGACGCACGCCGTCTTCCTCTCAACCGCCGACATCGTCGTCGTCGGTCGCTACAACCTCTCCAGCCCAGATGACGAAGAGGACGATGAATTTATTTTTGTTGCTGTTCTTTGGAAAGAGTTCAATTTGTGTAGTGAGCCAGTGAGGTGGTCTGGCGTGCTTATCAGTAAGTATTCCTAAAAGAAACATTCTGACGAGCACTATATCCAGAATATCACCTTTATTATAAAATAAAACCGGTGCGGTGCGAGTTGGGTGGTTGATTGAAGTGTCAATATGGAGTGGACAAATAGATCGTCATATCACGCTGCTCTCAGCAATGGTAAGCATAGCTGGTAGAGTACTACACAATACTACGGTGGTGTTTGAATATTGAAGATGAAGATGGAGATTAAGGGGCTGTTTGGTTCAGATACTAACATTGACTAGGTTTACCATGCTTTCTTAACCAAACTTGCCAAAGATGAGGCCATCAAAATCCAAGCCACACTCTAGCCAACAAAATGAAACCATGCCACACTTTTTAGAGACACTTACATGTGGGACCTAGATTACAAAAGAGGAATCTTGCCACACTTGTGGAAGCCAACCAAACAATCATCTAACATGGTCAAACTTGTCTAACCTTAAGTATGGCAAAGTGTAGTAACTTATGGCCATCAACTAAACAGCCCCTAAGTTTTTATGCAAAACAATATGCTATTAACGTATGATTGATTGAGTTTTAATTCTTACAAACTTGAAAAATAGATTAATATGATATTTTAGTGCAACTTTTATATAAAAAGTTTTTGTACGAAACACATCATTTATCATTTAACAGTTTGAAAAGCGTGTCACGAAAATCTTAATATTTATCTAAGTCTTGTGGAAGAAAAGAACTGGACCTGAGTCATGCATTCGTGCGTCTGGACTGACATGTAGATTCATGGCCGACCATCGACTTACAACTGACGTTAATCCGGGCGTGCGTCATACGCATTGTCCGTAAGCCGATCGAGAGAGGGGACGGTAGGTAAAGTACAATCGCGCCGTGTGTCGTGTCGTGCACCGTGTTAATTGGGGGAAAAAGTACACCCAAGGTCCCTCAACTTGTCAGCGAGATAAAAAAACATACTTAAACCATAAAACCATATATATATATAGTCCCTTAACTAAACAAAACCGATCACCCGAGATCCTTCGGTGGTTTTGACCCCGATTTCGGTCTATGTGGCGGCTGAGTCAGCATGGGACCAACGTGGGTCCCATATATCAGGATGCCATGTCAGCCGGTCCTCGGTTCCTCCTCTCTGTTGAGCGCGAGCGCGAGGCTTGCAGGCGAGCAGATGGTTGAGGACTCTGCGAGCTCGGACCGGTGCACGACGCGGAAGGGGTCCGGGTGACCGGCGAGGGCGCGGTCGACGGCTGCAACGCCCACGGCCTCGGCGGCGGAGAGGAGGAGATCGGCGACCAGCGCCGCCGCCGCCGCGCTTCCTCCACGCGCTAGCCACCACCGCCTCCACGGGGACCTCGCCGTGGGCGGCGGCCATCGTCGACCTCGCCGCCCCTAGGGCCCTCCACGCCGGCGCACAAGGGGCTTGCCGCGGAGGATGAGCGGCGTGGAGCTCCAGACGCGCCGCCAGCGGGAGGCGAGCGCGGCGGTGCGAGTCGCGCCCTTGAAGGGAGGCGGGCGACGAGGAGGTCGTCGGGGAGCGCGCTGACGCGGTCCTCGCCGTCGTATCCCTCGGCGGCGGAAAGCATGGCGCCGTTGTCGGAGGCGGGATGGCCGGGGAACCACCGGAGGCGGACTTGGACGTGGCGCTGTCGTCGTCGTCGTCCTCGGCGTCGGGGAAGAAGGTGGGCGCGGCGGCGGCGGAGGCTAGGGGGTTGCCGCGGCTAGTGTGGATGGAAAGCTGAACATTGCTTCTTCAGCTCCAATATATTGTAATTCACGAGCCTTTTTATTTTGATGGTTGCTTCTTCAGTTCGAAAGATGTCTCTGTTTTTATTCTTGTTCAAGCCATTGGCAAGTCTGAAGAACCTAGACTGAATTCTATACTGTAGTACAGTTCTACCATCGTCAGTACAGTATAAAGAAGCAATCTTTTGAATCCTTTTCAAGTAGGAGTATAGTATGAGATTATTATAGCCTGTCAACTTGCTGTTTGTAACTAGCCAATGCTAATCTTTTCAGCTCGATTATGATATATATCACGTCGTCAGATTTGTGCAAAATTGGTATAGAGACATTCTGACCGGGTTATGGTCGATGACACTGTCCATCATCTGAGAGTTTGCAAGTCTCTGAACTCTGAACATTGCCCAGAATCTCTTACAGGAATCTTTTTGTTGGTCTTCTCATACAGTATATATCATTGGCCCCTTGCAAGCAGAGGACAAATTCTCTTTGCATTCGTATGCATTTTAATTCTGCGAAACCTGTAGCTTGTCCTGTGTATAAACAACGAGAATATCATCTGTTTATCATTCCAATTTCCAAGTATCAACTTCTACCTCGACCAGGAGTAATACAGATTCTGAAGTTTATAAACACATCTCTGCCTGAACAAGATGGACACCTACTGTTTTCAGTTCACCATTTGATCTTTACCAGATAAACCTGAAGTTCAAACCGTGCAGCACTGCAGCCATGTTTCCCAAGATAGAATGACGCGTACACAAGCTTCCAGCGTGTCGAGGGCGAGGTCGACGGCGGCGCCGCACCGCGTGTGCCAGCAACCCCAGGCGCCGCACCCCGGGAGCGGCCCGCTATTGGGAGCCGCCACCGACGCCTGCCTGCTGTACAGAAACTGCAGCACGAGCACGAGCACCAGCACCTTGTACCGCACCAGCCGCGGCAACCCCCTAGCCTCCGCCGCCGCGCCCACCTTCTTCCTCGACGCCGAGGACGACGACGACGACAGTGCCACGACCTCCTCCTCCTCGGCACCGGCGCCGCCCACCTCTGCCGCGTGCCCCACGCAGCACCACCCTCCCCGGTGGCGCCGCCGCGCCACTATGTTCGTTGCCGGCCGGCTTCCAACAGGAGAAAAGAGTGAGAGAGAGAGAGAGAGAGGAGGAAGGGAGGATGCTGACGGCGGCGTTGCCTCCGCCGGCGCGACGCCGGCTGCCGGACCTTCTCCTCTCCCCTCCCCCCGGCGGCCTCCTCCCCCACAGCGCCGCCCGTCGCCGGCTGAGAAAAGTGAGAGAGAGAAAGGGAGAAGAGGGGAAATAAGAGGGAAGAGATGAGGTGGCGTGGGTTCCACGTGGGTCCCATGCTGACTCATCCGCTATAAACCGCCGAGGAATCTCGTATGATCGGTTTTGTATAGTTAAGGAATCCCGCATATCTGGTTTTGCGGTTCGAGGATGATTTTGTATCTCGCTGACAAGTTGAGGGACCTTCGGTGCACTTTTTCCGAATTTTTTTTATTTTTAATTTTTTTTATTAAAAGTTTTACAAAAATAATTTTTCATTTTGAAAATTGACAGAAGTGGTCGCCTACCGCCCTCTGGGAGGGCGATTTTTAAAAATCGCCATCCCAGAGGGCGGCGAAAATGACGTGGCAGACGGCCGTTCGCTCTCGGGCGACGGCCGTCAACGAAATTTGCATGCGGCCCCCTTGCCGCCCTCCGCTAGGGCGATTTTGTACTGTGCGGGGGCCGCCTGCAAATGGGCGGCGAGGGGGCATGGAATTTTGCAGGCGGCCCCCTTGCTGCCCTGGGGGAGGGCGATTTTATACTGTGCTATATTTTTTTTTATAAATATCAATAGTTATCAAATCTTTTTATATTGAAAACTATACAAGATTAAAATCTCCAAGACTGGTAAAATACAATTTTATTATTTTTTAGGGCATAGTTGGAATGTTACCGTACAAATATTTTGTTAGTGCCAAAATATAAGCAAGTTTTGGCACTACCAAATATTTGGTAAGGTAAAATTGCATTTGATCATATTTGGTTTGCTGCCAAAATGTAAAATTGTAGTGAAGAATGTTCTACATAATCTCAAATCTAGATTATGTATTACCAATGAATAGGCTTCCATTTTCGTGTGTTGTGTGCTAGTGGGAAAGAAGATATGAAGAGGTTGCCTTCAGATTGTCAATTATATAGCGTCGTTTTCACTGCAATATATGTGAACTCAATGAGATACATTATTCATTAGATGTGACAAGACGATCACGCGTGGGCGTGATTCACTTTATGTCAACAGGCAGCGCCGAAAGTTGATAGTGATAACTCGAGCTGCCGCTTTTCATGTGTGCTGTTGTGGACTGTACGCGCTACTGGATCTGACACTACCATGAAGCGCCGAAAGTGCGTTGTCGTGAGCATAAGTTGTTCTAGCACCATATGAATGAAAAGAACTATGTAGACGAGACAAACACAAGTAGTACTGCAGTAGTAATAGCAAAAGTAGTACTGCTTTACAAGTTTGTAAGCCAAAAGAAACGGTCACATAAGGACTGAAGAGGTAGAACACTACTGACGAGGCCTCTTACCCCTGTCCCTCCTACCCTGCGCCCTAATGTGCCCCTGGGAGTACGTGAGTCGGTCCGGGGGTACGGCACGGCCAACTCGTCCTGCCTGTACAGGTGTGACCTCTGGCTGCTCCTGAGTGTGCGCCTCTGGAG